TCTTAAAAGGTGACCAGCGGATGTCGACATGTATATACAAGTTGGGTCACAATGTCTAGGCTCTAACTCGAGATGTAAATGACATATGTCCCCATGGATCAATATTCATTATCCCCATGGATACTTGTCAATGGGAGATGTCCTCCGAGACTTCAATCTTTGTTCTCCTACGTTGACTTCTCGAGATGTTAGACTTCCCAACATTCTTCTGCCTCTTTAAATCCCTGGGCGGTGAGTTTCTGATGCTTTCTCTGACAGCTCACAACACCCCTCATCAAGGTAGTATTTCGTTTTCACGCCTCCCCGAAGGGAAGTTTCGAAACTTCCACCTACCGGTCCCTAAATCTCACATTGTTTGCATCGTCCCGTCCGTCCGTTCATTCGTTCGTTCGTTCGATCGATCTGCCGTCTGTCTGAGTTTGACAGCCCCGTCTGCCCGCCTTATTGAAATTTGTTGTTGCATTGATATCTCGCCTGAAAAGGAGAGAGATGGGCAATCGCAAAATGGGGCATATTGTACCTACACTACATGGCATGGCATGGCGTCTTTCCAGGACTGGTTTGGACTAAACTTTCAGCATTGCATTTGTTTCCTTCTTCTCTTCTTTCTGGAATCTGCAGGGGTAAAAACACCAGGGACTTCAGGGAGGGGAACGCCAAGCTCAAACCCAGCGAATAGGATTTGTGAAAAACGATGGGCATTCGGAACTGCTAGTGCTACGGCCCCACTAACCCCCGTGCGGCCGGCAGTCCGAGTGTCGGGAACTTCAAGAAAAAGGGGGAGGGAGAGGCGGAGCTTTTTGGGTGTTTGTTTGCCGCCGACTCCGCCGTCGCCGTTGCCGTCGCCGCTACCTTTGCTCCGTGGCCGGACTGACGATGGCTGCTATTACCTAATGCAGACGACCGTCAACACCCCGCGCTCGGACGTCATCCACCGATGCGGTGTTGGAGTCAGTCCCCTCCGGCGACGATGACATCCGTGACGATGACTGACATGATACCGTCATGATCTCTTTCTGCTTGTCAACAAGCCATTCTGTTTGAAATTCTCATCAGTTAGAGGTTTGAGCATTACCTTAAGACATATGAACGGCTTATGCCCTTTTCGTTGACTGCTCCACAATCGACACTGGCTATCATGATGCCGTACCTTCCTTCAATCTCGAGATTGAGAAGCCACTGATATGGCTTCATATCTACACGTGTACGGAGCTGGAGAAGTGGGTGCGGTTTGACAAAGTAGTTCGTGCGCATCACCTCATCATCCATCCTATGTGCATCTTTAAGCCCGGGACACCCTGGCTGAATGGCTGCAATCTTTGGTGGAGATGGGAATATTATGCCGTCGCCAAGCGACGGATTGTGAAAGACTCGAAATGATGGAACTCGAATGGTGATAACAGTATATGAAAAAGCCGGCACTTCCGTGCGTGATCACAAAATCGCCATGGACCTCGAGATAATGGAAGATATATCTGTATTATCTAGTAAGTATAGTCGTTGACCGTTGGTTACAACATAATGGATATCGATGCCAGGCGATGAACCCTTTTCCCCATCCTTTTCCAGAATGCATACCATCCGCCTGTCGACGCCTTTGTTGAAAGGCTTTTTTTTCCTGTCCTGTTTTTTATAAGAACCTGCCATGCCGTGTTTTGTGTTCGCGCTCCCAATGACCCAAAAACTTGATGAAATAGAAAAGACTTTAGATGTTGAAACCAGTGCCAGAAACGTCGTCATGCTCGACCCTTTTCCCCTCTTCCTCGGGACGCACAAACACCGGGTGGACACACCGTATAAGAGAGAAAGAGATCATGTTGAAATCGTTAATTTTGCATCCACCCGTCAGACTCCGCGACTCCAGATATCATGTGTTGACCCATAACGGCACCCCAAGGCAACTCCTAGCCCCCCTTTCTTGCCATGTACACCGTTTCGATTCTTTCCATTTAGTAAAGGATGCGGGTGAGGATGCGCGAGCTGAGGGAGTCCAAGTTGTCACGAATATTCTTGATATCATCTTGCTTGACTTCACTAACGTCAGCCATGAGATACGCAATATCGCCCTTGGAATCCGAGATCTGCTTGTCGACGTTGTGTTCGGCGAGAATCTCGTTGACCTTGCGCAGCACACCAGGCACGTTGCGATGGATGTAGATAACGCGAGCGTGGTTAGGCTCATCAAGCGTCAATGAGCGCATGGTAACCTCGGGCACGTTGACACTGCCAGTGGTGACGCCCTGGTTGATGTAGCGCACGAGGGCCTCGGCGACCTCAACACCGATGGCGCGCTGAGCCTCCTCAGTGCTGCCACCAATATGGGGGGTAAGAATGATGTTGTTGAGGCCGCGAAGGTCCTCGCCCCACTGGTTGAGCTCGTTGGTGAAGTAGTCACCGTTAGCGGCGGGCTCGTTGGGGAAGACGTCCAGAGCGGCACCGGCAACCTTGCCGCTGCGCATGGCCTTGATCAGCGCAGGGATATCGACAACAGTACCACGGCTGGCGTTGATGAGGTAGGAGCCGGTCTTCATCTTCTCGAACTGAGCGTTGGAGATCAAGTTCTTGGTCTCGGGAGTCTCAGGAACGTGGAGGCTGACAAAGTCAGCCTCCACAAGAAGAGCCTCGAGAGTAGGCACCTGGCGAGCCGTGCCGATGGCCATCAGGGTAACGACGTCATAGTAGATGACGGTCATGCCCATGGCCTCCGCCAGAACGGACAGCTGCGAGCCAATGTGGCCGTAACCGACAATACCAAGGGTCTTGCCGCGAATCTCCCAGCACTTGGAGCTCACCTTGTTCCAGGTGCCGCGGTGCATCTCGTTGGAGCGGTCGCCCAGCTGGCGGGCGAGGGTGATGATCTCAGCAATCACCAACTCAGCAACACTGCGGGAGTTGGCGAAAGGAGAGTTGAAAACGGCAATACCATGCTGAGCAGCATAGTCCAAGTCAACCTGGTTGGTACCAATGCAGAAGCAGCCGATGACGAGCAAGTTCTTGGCTTCCCGGAGAACATTGGCAGTCAACTTGGTCTTGGAGCGGATGCCAATGACATGAACATCCCTTTGAAGAGTGAGTTAGTCAGGTGTGCTTTTTGTGTTTCTCCGCGGGCTGGAGAGCGTCTTTCTTACTTGATCTTCTCAATGAGCTGGTCCTCAGGAAGCGAGGTCTTGAGGAACTCAACCTGGTAGCCCTGGGCCTTGAGGATCTGCTGACCGGTCTGGTTTACATTCTCGAGGAGCAGGATCTTGATGTCCTCGGTGTTGAAGGGCTTGAGCTGCTTGGGCGCAGAGCGGTGGGCGAGTGCGGACGCCATGAAGCTGGAACTGGAGATGGGGGACTGGAAAGTTGATGGAGAGACGCTGAATTGGGCGGCGGTAGTGTCACCGGTGGGCTGGGCAATTTCTCTGGCAGATGTCATGGTGAAAAGGAGAGAAGAGGAGCAAGGCCGGGGTGGTCTGAAAGGATGAAGCAAAATAATATTGGCCCGTCGTGGCAGAACCGCGGCAACCCAGGGACTCTTTATGAGTCCAAGCTAGGTCTTTCCTTGAATCTCGGGCTCCGTCAATCGGCAAGGGCAAAGCGAACAGATGGAATCCCACCGGGCCGTTTCTGTTTTGATGGAGAGGTGTGGACAGCCAAGTGGACTCCTGTTACCGGACCATTGTGTACCCCAAGGTGCCTTTAGACACCTTGCGTGCGATCCTTGGTGGGGTTTGCGCGGGTTTGGAGGGGGCTGTTACAGCGCTGTACATACATAACACGCGGGCGGCGGGGGTCGCCTTTGACTCATCACACAGGAACCCAAAAACAACACTCACCTACTGGCTGGATTCGGTGGGTAGCTCGACCAAAGGAAAATTTTGACGATGACGCATTGCGCCACTGACATCGTAGAATTCACAAAAGCTCTGCCATGAAGGCACGCGGTTAGTAGTGTAAATAAGCTAACCAGGTTGCGCTTAACATCTATATAAGTAAGGTACCATGAAATGTCTTGCTGTTCATCAATGCGGGCTCTCCGAATGGGTTGCTCTCCCATCTCCCCAGGTTACACCCAATTGGACCCTTTTCCGTCCATCTCAAGAGAGGATGAACTCACGAGAATCACTCAGGCTGAGGACAAAATGAATGGTTATTGTCAGAATGACCTGACATGGCGTTGCAGTCGTCCTTGACTTCCCCGATTCACCATATTCACATGTTGAAATGTTTTGCGTTATTCCACTCGTATCATACGTCTTTCATTATCTTATGTGTTGGGCGCTGAGGTTTTGCAGACGATGCATGAACACCCGGAGACGCCAAGCTTGTGTGTTAGTAAAGACATCAGCAAATTACCCGGAAGGCCAACTCCTTCAGGTCTTCCACGGCTCTCTTTCGTCCGTTTACACCACGCGAGGCTACAGGGGTCGTGACGATTTACATCCATCCGGGGAACCCCCTGGTGAGGTGATCTGCCCTCCGGTGTCATGGTCCACTACATAGGAAGCTTGACAGTCGCAGACAGTCGACATCGAGTCACGCCGGAAGATGGCTGTTTGTGATGTAGAAACACCTGCAATGCTGTACTATGAAATCAACACCTAAATCCTCGTAGAATCACTACTTTTCCCGTATAATATCAGCCCTTTCCACACGAATCGGCCCTTGTTCCGGCTTAGTTCGCATATCTGCCCCAATCCTTGCCCTCTAACATGCCACTGCTTCAGGAGTCAGGACAAACTGTCCTGCTAAAAATTATGAGAGACAACCACAGTGTCAAGGCAGGTGCTAAAGCCAACTCCTCATACGACCAGTTCGAATTCCGTAGAATGGTCTATCAATCAACCACACGATCCGGTTACTCGCAAACTCCTGTTCTTCCTGAGCCCACGGCCACCCTGGTGTGGTCATACATGACACTGAGCATTTTGAGACTCATGCCAAAGGCCAATGGGCGTTCTGCCCCTTGCCTGCCTGGTATAGTGGTATCATTTTTGTGTTCGTTCAGCAATCAGCATTTAGCTCTGCTTGCACTCAGCAGCCTCCTGCTTGGGCTTGCTGCCGTCCTCCTGTAAAAATTGTCAGCATACCTGCAAAGCGTAGCACATGTTGGGGGATGTCAGGAAGCCTTACATCGTCCTCATCGCTCTCATCCTCATCATCCTGGTCCTCGCTGGCATCCTCATCATCCTCGTCATCTTCATCGTCGAACTCGGCGTCCTCGAAGTCCTCCTCATCGAGCTCCTCGAAGGCGAGGGCCTCGCCAGTGAACCAGTCGATAGCACGGGGAATGAGCTTCTCCTTGATATCCTCACCAAGCTGGTAGTCGAGCTCAAGACGCTCCTCGATATCGGAGGTGGTGGACTCATCATCATCGGTAGGAGCCTTAGGAGGGGAGAAGAAGTTGAAGAAAGACTCGGTAGGGACGGTCTTCTTGACAATGCGGGTCTGCTTGGTGGCTGTGCAATGTGTTAGTAAGCAAGCTCGTAAATCGAGTTAAAGCTGAAAACTCACTCTTGTTGCGCTGCTTCTTCTGCTCAACGCGGACGGTAAGGTCCTTGTCCTCCTTCCAGTTGATCTTGTCACCCTCGGCGTGATCGTAGATGAAGTCGCCACCATAGCCGCTCTCGTTCTGGTAGTAGTAGGTCTTGGTGATAGTCTTGTTGGTGAAGTACTCGTTCTCTGCGAACTCGAAGATGAGGCGGAAGCCAGGCTTGTCGAGATATTCCATGCGGATATCAGTGAGGGACTTGAGGGCCTCCTCATCGCGGTCGGTGATCATCTCGGCGAGGGAGATCTGGTTCTTCATGGCAGAGAGCCAGAACTCGGGGATACCAGAGACCTTGTCAGCAGACTCGGAAGCCTTCTCCTTGGGGGCGGCCTCGGTCTCCTCATCATCTTCCTCCTCGTCCTCCTCACCGGCCTGAACCTGGTCCTCGGTGGGCTCGGTCTGGCCGTTGACGATGGCGGCACGCTGCTGGTAAAGAGGAGTGAACTTGGCAAAGTACTTCTTCTCGAGCTGGAGGACCTCCTCCTGGAACTCGGCCTCGAGCTTGGAGTGCTCCTTCTGGATGCCCTTCAAGCCAGCGACGCGACGCTTGACATCGGTGGGGAGGGACTCGATGTAGCCGGACGAACGGCCGACGAGAGAGCCGAGACGGCCCTGGATAAGGGACACGAGTCTGGGGTCCTTGGCGAAGATAGAGGCGGCGGCGGCACGGTCAAGGTCCTCTGTAATGAGCAATAGTTTAGTAACAAGCCCAGAAGACAACCGAAGTGTCGGCAGCAGCAAGATTCTTTACTCACCCTCCTTAATGCTGGCAACACCGGGCTGCTGAGCGTGCGAAGAGATGGGAGCAGTGTTAAGAGGAGTGTTCTGAGGGGTGCTGAAGGGAAGGCTGGTCAGTAACGTGTTGCGATAGTCGGATGAATATCCCATCAAAGGGAATCTTTGGGAATGAAAACTTACGGAGCGATGGGGGGATCGGCCCGCTTGTTTCTGATGGGCTCGGCCATTTTGTCTGATGCTGCTCAAAGAGAAGGGAATGAGTCGGAATACAGAGAAAGATGCGCTGGTAGAACCCTGTGGACGACGTACAGTGGATGTCGGAGGGAGAAATGGGAAAAGGAAGGACAAATTTGGATTTAAGAAGCGGTCGGGTGTTGAGATTGATGAAGGGGCCCCGGTGCTGGTGGGAAAGGCAAAAAGTTCTGTGGTTGCCGGTCGGTCCAGGCAGAGAAGGCTTGTGCAGTGGAGGAAATGTTGAGCGAGGGTCTGAGGGGACCGGGAGGGGAGAAAAGCTGTCAATGGGGTTGCTATGAAAATTTGCGGGGCACTGGCCAGTGCGGGCAGGGCAGTCGAGGGCACTGCAGCGGAAGGCGCCCCGTTGGACCATTCACTCCATGATGCCTGCATTGCGCCGGCGACCACCCAGTCCGCGACTTCCATTTGTTGCCCACCGTGCTACTGAATTTTCGTAGGAGCAATGCGAGTCTTTTGCCGCTTGTCTTGGGGCTAGGAAGGCGCGATGTGAAAGGGTATTGACCTTCTAGCAAAGGCAGGTGCTCTCGTCGAATGTCCGCGTGAGAGAGACGATCGTGTCTTTTGGGTTAAGCTCCAGTCACTGGTTTGACTGCAGCCACGGTACCTATTACCTATGGTCCATGCTTGTAAACTCAACTGACAATATCCCCAGATAGCTAGATAACCTTCAGCTTTCCTAGGAACCTCACGGACCACGCCGTCGTTCTTATCGTACTACAAAGTCCGTCCATGTACACGTACATGGCATTCAGGTAGTGTATTTCCAGGTTGTCGCGCCTCGCTTCCTGGGACCACATGCTTCAGCATTTGGCTGGCGTGAATTGCGTGCCAGCGTTCTCTCCAGGGATCCCGGCCAGAGACATGATGTAAATGTTATTAGCGACATGCTGGCTTCATACCGTATATACCGTACACAAAGTGACCTATATAAGTGCAAGATACCGCTGCGTGTGGTTACGGCATCCTGCTCACAGTTTACCATGGAAGGTGATTTTCGCCCGAACTCATAATATGTATATAGGACGGGTGTTTACATGTTGTCTTCTCACCGGCATCAGGTTGTGATGGTGAGTTAAGCACGGGGTAGATAGTGTGTACATAGATACCGCGGGAACCGCCATACTTAGCATGTTACTAATGTGTAAATGCTCTCCCGACTTAAGAGGGCTCTTATGGTCAGGTTCTGGATGGCGAATTTGAAAACTCTGCTGTTTCCACTCTGTTCTCAACGAGTCAACAGAACCTTTTCAGCAAAGGCAACTTGACGCACACTTTCTGCCTATGACTTGTGAGTCGACACTGGCACGACGCTGGGTTCAGCGGCTTGGGTATGGTCGGTCCGATCTGAGCCATCATGGCCGTAGACCGTCTTGGGCGTCCAAGTCCAGCCAGGTGAGATGCTGCAAGTGATCATCACGACGCCCACGACGCCCTCCCTCGCTCCTGTTGGTGGCTGTCGACATGATCGGTTGCTCTCCGCGAATCCCCATGGCCAACTGAAGCCGACAAGGTTTTGGCCAGAATGACCCTTGTTACGCTGTGCTTATCGTGAAAACCGTGGATAGCGACCCCATCACCGCCATCGACCTTTTTAGCTAGGCAAGCGGCTAGCGGAGATGCTTGGCATTCAATTGGCAGTGTGAAAGGGAAAAAAATGCCATGCAAGAACTTGTTGCTGCCCCACTCGTTGCCTGCCCGTTGGGACTTGGGACGGTCTGGCCACGATCCTTCTCCGTGACTCCGGCGTCCAGGTCAACAAATGAACAAAACAGAAAAGAGCATTCTTGCTGAACCCCAATTATTCCCGACTCCAGTCTCCGTTCGGAAAGGCTTATCCACTCACCTGGATGGATGTTAAAGATGATATTGTGAAAGTTACTTTTCTATGTGTTGGTAAGCACTCACTTGGTGGCCCTTACGCTTTCACAATGTGAACCTTGATGTCTTTTATGTAACCATGTGGCCGAGCAAGGTGGAAGGTAGCTTGAGTAGGTATATAGAAGAAAAGGAACGAAGCACTTGCCGCTCTACCTCTAAGGTATTTGGATATCATTTGGAATTCAGTTGCTCTTCCCTATGGAAAAGGTGTGTCTTTGGCAAGCCACAGTTGGTTGACCGTGGTGTGTAGGTATAAAAAGAGTGCCGGCTCTCCTCTGGGCGTAAAAACATCTGAAAGTTTGAAACGGCTAAATAAAGTCCGGTCCGCCGACAACGCGGATCAGCACGTATTGTATGCAATTTTCGAGGTTTGGCAGCAAGCGAAACAAACCGACGTCATGTTCTTATCGGTATCACCTTCCCAAACAGTTCTCTGCGCTTACAAGTTCAGACGACTGACTTAGTCGCGGCAACAATCTCAAATCCTACTTGGACATTCCCCCAATTGCACAACTTCAGGACTCTGTGCAATGTCCTGCTGCTGCTGCCATCGCTACTTATAAGATGCGTGCCAGTTGCTTATAAATATTACTTTTACATATAGGATTAGCTTCGGAACAACACCGACAGCAGCACCAACATGAACGGCGGCAATGACGACCACAACGCCAGCTGGCGGTCATCGCAGTCTTTTGACAGCCGACGCGCCAGCCATGATCGCCGGCCAGGCCTCTACACTTTAGGGTCGAATCAGAGTAACGCGAGCATATTTGAGGATGTTGAGATGGCACATGACGAGGTATGCATTCTTCCCTTTCCCCCGCTACCCTAGTGCGGTTTGTGCTGTATCTGACGTTCGCGGCAACAGCTCTACTCTGGCCCTATGGCAGAGTCGCTCCCAACCAGCGTGTCCGCATTCAACCACCGCCGAGCTCGCGCCGACTCTACCACTAGTTTCTCCTTCTACCAAGAAGACATCGATGAACGCTTTGAGGCAGGCGAGATCGCCTCGTCCGAAGACCTCGACGAATTACCGTTCGAAGACGACTATGAAGACGACGTTGGAGCATCAGAGATTGGTTCATCAGACTTGGAGCGTCAAGTTCCCGACAACGAATACGTGCTCAACAGACGATCCTCGATTCAATCAAGGAGATCTGGGCATAGTAGGGTTCTGCGCAGAGACAGCGGTGTATCAGCAAACAGCGGACATGGTGGAAACCGTACCAGCCAAAAAGTATACATGGTCAACGAAGATCTCTATATCGCCATCGCTGGATTCCGCACGAGCACTTTCGGCCTGGCTGTTTACATCCTCATATGCTTACTGACCTTTGGAGCTGGCTGGCTTTTGTTCAGATGGGTACCTAGATGGCACGTCAAGCTGGTTGGACGCCCATCCTCGCTACGGGACTGTCAGTGGGTGGTTATTGAGAACTCATGGAACGAAATGGCCATCCTTGACGTTGACTCAAAGCCTTATGGACGTGTCCTTTCGACCGTCTTCGGAACTCCGGGTAAACTGACCAGCTACTCGTTGGATGAAGACCATGACCCAATCCTCCAGGATCTCCGCATGATCAACTACCGCTACGTGCGCTTCTTCTACCATCCGCTCAAGGATAAGTTCATCCTTTCCAGTGGCTGGAAGGATCCGCTTTGGACAGATGTTCAAACAGTTCGTTCCGGTATCGACAGCGAAGAGAAGACCCACCGAGATGCTGTTTTTGGAGGAAATCTGATCGACATCGAGGAGAAGTCTACTTTCCGCCTTCTGGCCGACGAGGTAAGATGCTCGTCTTTGTATTGTTGCTGCGCATTTCAGCTAACAACGTCCATCCAGGTCTTCCACCCCTTCTATGTGTTCCAGATTGCCAGTTTGATATTGTGGTCAGTTGACGAGTACTACTATTATGCCATCGCTATCTTCGTCATGTCAGTTGGCAGCATTGTGGCTACTCTTATCGAAACCAAATCCACAATGAAGAGGCTACGGGAAATTTCCCGGTTTGTCTGCGACGTTAGGGTGCTCAGAAATGGTTTCTGTAAGTTCAACACTCGCATCTCTGAGTGGTTCTGCAAGTTGCTAACACATTACAGGGCGCCACGTCTCTTCCAGTGATCTTGTACCTGGTGACATCTACGAGGTCAGCGATCCGAGCCTCGGCCAGTTCCCTGCGGACAGTCTTCTACTTGGCGGCGACTGCATTGTCAACGAGAGCATGCTCACTGGTGAATCCGTGCCAGTATCCAAGACCCCGGCAACCGATCAGTCGCTCCGGAATTTGGATCTTGGTGCCTCTACCGTGCTGCCAGAAGTCGCAAAGCACTTCTTGTTTTGCGGAACCAAGATCATTCGTGCGCGCAGGCCTCAAGATGACGGCAATGAGGAGGCTGTTGCCCTCGCTCTTGTTGTCAGAACGGGATTCAACACTACCAAGGGAGCTTTGGTGCGCTCCATGCTTTTTCCCAAGCCGTCGGGCTTCAAGTTTTACCGCGATTCGTTCCGATACATCTCTGTTATGGCATGCGTTGCAATGGTCGGGTTTGCGGCGTCATTCATCAATTTCATACGGCTCAACCTGTCTTGGCATCTCATCATCGTCCGGGCCTTGGATCTGATTACCATTGTGGTCCCTCCTGCGCTGCCAGCAACGCTCACCATCGGCACGAACTTCGCACTCGGCCGTCTTAAGGCGAAGAAGATCTTTTGCATCAGCCCTCAACGAGTTAATGTTGGCGGAAAACTGGACATCATGTGTTTTGACAAGACAGGAACTCTCACTGAGGAAGGCCTTGATATTCTTGGAGTTCGGGTGGTCAATCGGTCCAACAACCGATTTAGCGACATCCTCGATAATCCAGACGATATTGTACCTCGTCAGGATCATGGCACCGGGATCAGAGACTCGACAGACACACTCAGGGCGGCACTGTACACCATGGCAACGTGCCACTCTCTCCGGTCAGTCGATGATGAGCTTGTCGGTGATCCCTTGGATCTCAAAATGTTCGAGTTCACGAGATGGTCGTTCGAAGAAGGACACGAGGGAGGAGGCGCTACGGACGGGGAAGAGCAAGGAACACTGCAGCCATCCATCGCCAGGCCCCCAACTGTAGACAAGGGTTACACGGATGCCGACCAGCAAGATGCTCCACAGAATGGACGCGCACCATTTGAACTGGGTGTTCTCAAGTCTTTTGAGTTTGTCTCCCAGCTCCGAAGAGCAAGCGTTGTGGTCAGGACATTTGGACAGAAGAGCGGAGATATCTTTGTCAAAGGCGCGCCGGAGTGCATGCGAGACATTTGCAAGCCGGAATCATTCCCTGCAGACTACGATGATCAGCTCAACTTCTATACGCACAAGGGATACAGAGTCATTGGCTGCGCTACCAAGCACATTCCTAAACTCAGCTGGGTAAAGGCTCAGAAAATGACGCGACAAAACGTGGAGTCGGATCTGGACTTCGTCGGATTCATTGTCTTCGAGAACAAGTTGAAGCCTGCGACGGCTCCGGTTTTGAAAGAGCTCGCCGAGTCCAACATTGGATCGGTCATGGTGACTGGAGATAACATTCTTACTGCTATTAGCGTTGCGCGGGAGTGCAGCCTGATTAACAAGACGGCTCACTGTTTCGTTGGTCGCTTCGTCGCTGGTCATTCGAGAGACGCTAACGCCAAGTTACAATGGGAGAGCATCGACAATCCGATTTACCAGCTGGACGACCGCACGTTGCTTCCCTTACCGCCACCGCCAGAGGGAGACGCCTCCCTTCCATACGACATTTCTAACCTACGGAACTATTCTTTGGCTGTTAGCGGCGATGTGTTCCGATGGGTGATCGACTATGCGCCTCCAGAAGTCATGCGGAGAATGCTCGTCACTGGCAAGGTATTTGCCCGCATGTCTCCTGACGAGAAGCATGAGCTTGTTGAGAAATTACAGAGCATCGACTATTGCTGTGGCTTCTGTGGCGATGGCGCCAACGACTGCGGCGCTTTGAAGGCCGCCGATGTCGGTATCTCCCTTTCCGAGGCTGAGGCATCCGTGGCCGCTCCTTTTACATCCAGAGTATTCGACATCCGCTGTGTCCCAGAGGTGATCCGCGAGGGCCGAGCCGCGCTTGTCACAAGCTTCAGCTGCTTCAAGTACATGAGCTTGTACTCGGCCATCCAATTCACGTCGGTCAGCTTCCTGTACGCTTCAGCATCGAACCTCGGCGACTTTCAGTTCTTGTTCATTGACCTGGCCCTCATCCTACCGATCGCCGTATTTATGAGCTGGGCCGGTCCATTCCCAGAACTCTGCCGTAAGAGACCGACGGCCGACCTGGTCTCTCGCAAGGTGTTGGTGCCACTTCTTGGACAAATGTTCATCTGCATCTTCATCCAAACTATGGCGTTCATCGCAGTACGCGAACAACCCTGGTTCATCCCGCCTACAGTTGAACACGAGAAGGTCAACATTCGGAACTCTGAGAATACTGCGCTCTTCTTGACGTCCTGCTTTGAGTATATCCTTGCAGGCGTGGCCCTGAATGCGGGCCGGCCCTTCAGGCAACCTCCCTGGAACAACTGTACGTTTTCCCGTTTAAGTCTTGACTGTTACTTACCTAGATATATATGCTAACTTTTTCCACAGGGCCATTCGTTGCTGCGATTGTTGCCACTCTGGCGTTTACGGGTTATATGATCCTTGGTCCTGCTGCCGGACTCGTTAGTCTGATGGACCTCACTCCTATTAGCTGGGACTTCAAGATGTTCATCTTCACCCTGGGCATCATGTATCTCGTGCTGGCTTGGATTGGTGAGCACGTTATCTTTCAACGACTTGCGCGCTTGATCGGAAAGGTCAGCCAATCTTTGACCAAGGAGCCCAAAAAGAGGAAGGAGTATAAGGTCATCTTGGAGAGGATGATCTGCTAAGTGAGGGACGTCATCTCTCATCTTTGACACATTGTATATATGAAAGTACGCATGGATGGCTCCGAGGCGTTCCAGGCACAGAAATGTCTTCGTCCCCCGATTAGTTCGCGGGCTTGGAGCAAGCGTATCTAGTTGAAGATTTGACTATGACCTTAAAGCGATCATATTCTCAATCCGCGTTCACCTTGCAATCATGGTCCTCATCGTTCCCTGTCTGACGTGGGGCGTTCCCGCCATCGTGATACCTTATACACAGTACCGTGTGCTCATCTTTCTTTATCCCAACCCATTGTGACCTCGAGGTCTAGACTCTTCTCATCCCATCTGTTCGATGAGTTCTGATCAAAGATAACAATCCATTGATCCCTTACCGTGACAACAAGTCGGACACTCACCGCCGGGGAATTAGTTTATGGTACAAGATGGGTTGGGTCTGGACTCAAAATAAATTGCTCAATGTGCTCTTTCCCATCCAAACGACGCATTCCCGTCTCCAGCCACGGTTGGGCGGCTGTAGGTTAGTAGGTACGTCTCGTATCCCGTATTTTCATCGCACCTTCCTCCTGAAAGAAACTCACAAGCGGCCATATCCAGAAGGACTGGAAGGCGTTACCCACCTACCTGCCTACCTGTCTATAAAATAATCACTTCTTGAGCAGATCCTGCTTCGTTCTTTCTCTTCTTCAACAACGCACTCGAGCCTCCACGACTTATAGAAATTTCCCACAACAAGAATCTCGCGACCATGTCCTTGCCATAGCAGCAACTTACCACCCATTCATTCTCCCAGTCCATCACCACCCTGACTGCTCTCAGTCGGTCACACCTAGAGGCTATCTTGCCCTAACACTCTTTGTCCTTCTCGAAGATCCCAACCGCAGTCAAGCCATATTGGCGAGAGCATCCACCACTCGCTATTACCAACGTCCAACATCAGACAAGATGTTCGCCTTCGTCAGTGAGTGCATGCTGAGATTCCGTTCACCACGTAGTGGCCCACACGGAGCTAGGAGGCCCTGTCTGACGTGGTCTTCTCTAGGCAAGATCCTCGACAACCTGAACGACACTTGGTGCGACAGTGTCCTGGACAGCGGCCTCGCCCCCCACGCTGTCCTCCGCGTGTTCATCCGCCGAGAGCTGCGTCGTCGTCTGGACGAGATCACTCCTCCCTTCCCGGAGAAGGTCCTCGCGACTGTGTCTGCCAAGGGCTCCCCCAGCTTGAAAGCCAAACTCGAGGATTTGACTTCGCCCAGGATTGCCCTTCTCCCAGGCGTCCTCGCCCCCATCTCGAAGTGGTCGGAGACACTCACCTACAAGATGAACTTCTTCGAGACCGTCCGTCACCAGCCCATCGCGATCGAGACAGACGCTGCCAACAGGCAGAACTACGAGATCGCAACCGGCATCATGGCCAATATGCTGGGCCCGAGGATCAAGTACAGCTGCTCGTACTATCCCACTGGCAATGAAACACTGGGAGAGGCCGAGGAGAAAATGCTTGACCTCTACATCGAGAGGCTCGGCCTGAAGACTGGCATGAGGTTCCTGGATTTAGGGTGAGTTCACAACCACTCTTGCTGATGGGACAAAATATTCCATGCATGGATTACACACACCAGGAAGGAAGAAGCTAACCCGGTCACAGATGCGGTTGGGGAGCTGCCATATTGTACTTCGCCGAGAAGATCCCCGGCTTGGAGGTCGTCGGTTTTTCAAACTCCCGTACCCAAAAGGAGTACATCGATGCCAAGGCAAAGGAGTTGGGCCTGACAAACGTACGGATCATCACTGGCAACTGTACCGACTATGAATTCCAGCCGGAATATTTCGACCGGGCATTGTCCGTCGAGGTAAGTAATCAGCTTGGGTTTCCCCAAGAAACTCCTGAGAAGTCGCGAGTGGCTAACATGGATGACCTAAAGCTGTTCGAGCACATGAAGAACTACGAAGGTCTGATGGCCAAGATGTCGAGAGCCCTTCGTCCCGGTGGCCAACTCCTCGTGCACCACTTCTGCCACCGTACGACGCCGTACCATTACGAAGATGGATGGATGGCACGCACCTTCTTCACCGGCGGAACCATGCCCTCCTCAGATCTCCTTCTGTACTTCCAGAAGGATCTGGTCATCAAGAAGCACTGGTGGATCAATGGATACCACTACTCGAGGACTCTCGAGGTAAGAATGCCAATTCAGATCCCTTGATGCTTTCTTGCGAAGAGCGTAGCATGCACATGCGGATACTAGACATGGGCTAACACTTGGGCCTCTCGCGAAGCATTGGCTCGAAAACACCATGGCCAGAAGGGAGAAGATGATGCCGCACCTGGCGGAGACATATGGCGAGGACATGGCCTTCGTTTGGCATAACCGCTGGCAGATCTTCCACCTGGCCAGCTCGGAAATGTTCAAGACCGACGGAGGCGATACGTGGGGGGTCACCCACGCTTTGTTCGAGAAGCCGGATCCCGAGCCTGTGACGTTGGGTGTGGTCACCATGGAACCGGTCACCATGGAACCCCTTGAGATCTGAAGACCTCGACATAGCGTGAGGGTCAAATACGGCGGAAAATTCCCATGATGAGATGAACGGGCGAAGGTTGGCATGGCGTACACAGGATCACTCTTCATATCCTTCTTCCTTATATAGTTAATTCGTTGATGATGCGCCTGACTGTTGTTCGGACGCAATCTGCGGTATCATTTCATAACTGATGAGTGATGGCTGATGATGATGGCGCCCTCCTGTTATACGGGCCGATCCCTGTTCTGTTGTTCCAGGTCCTATGCCAGTCGATAATGTTCCGTTCTAACCACCATCTCGCGTCGTAAAACTCCAAACGTAGTACCCCATGCCCACTTCACGTCGAGTATTTGCATCGATACCGTTCGTTCAGTGATCCCAAGGGTGCTTCAAGCCGAGGAGGACGGCTCCGTCCTTCTTCGCCCGATACATGATCTGGTAAACGCATAGAGCAAACACGAGTCAGTCACTGTGTCCGGGGGATATGCAGGGTGCGAACTCGCAAGGAACCTTACCCAGAACCACATGGATGCACCAAGGCCAATGCTCAGGAACTGGTAGACGGGCTTGCTGTGGTTGGGAGGCACGCGATACCACCACTTTCCTTGCAACCTCTGGTGTAGTGTGCGCGGCTGGGCCTCTTGAGAGTATTTCTCGCGCATTTTGCGGAACAGGTCCTCGGCCTCTTGAAGGTTCTCGGGGTGAGCGATTCGCTCGGGTTCTCCGCCGCCTGCCATTGTGAATAATACCCTTTTTCCTAAATGGGAGGTGTTTTTGTTGGTTAGTTGGTTTGGTCAATTACGCATTGGCATTGATAGAGCCCAGGTGCCTGGGTGGTGGTGGTGGAGCTCACCTTGTGGTTCTGAGGGCGTGGATCGGTTTGCGACGATGGGGGGGAGGGGAGTCGGGAATGGAGTCGTCCGTCGTCCTTCAGGATCCTGACCACCCAAGCTGCGTGTGACTGGAGGATTGCGTGGTTGTAGCGAGGTACCTTTGCCGCTCTTCAATGATTGGTTGCCTGATATATGAGGCTACAGAGTTGCTGTTACAGCTGTGGAAAGGGAGAAAAGGGTACAAAGGTACAAGCGATGAATTGGAGACGTCATGGTCTGCATTGTCCGTCCGCCCCATCTTATCGCTTCCCGTCGCTGGAAGGCGCGCTAGCGTTTTGAGGTTGCAGCGCATTCGATCGCTGGAACGATACGGGCCACCAGAGCGCGCCTCTCCAGTCTTGTGAAAGGCGACGGGCCGGGCATTTTGTTTCCCTTTCCACATCAAAAAGTCCAACGAAAGAAAAGACCGAAAACGGTCACGGTGAACCAAACACCAACCCGACGAATTTGCATGTCGCCTCATGTCTTCCCCTTAACCTGACAGGACCAGCTGCCAGGTAACTCACCACAGCCGGCCGGCAGACACGCGGCAACTGTGACGCTTTGCGCAAGCAGAGGATTCCTTCCATCCTCCTGTTTTCCCTCCTGCTTTTTCCACCTCAACTGGAAAACAAAACGCCGACGATATCCACGAACAAAGCCAAACAACATCCCGCAGCTTCCAACACATCGTAGCCTCTTGGCCCCTCGAATTTAACCGACCATCGCCAAAGAACTTTGTCCGAACGCAGAAGACGACTACATCACGATGAGCATCGACGAGGCAAAGGAGGGCGGCGGAGGCCCTGCCATGTCTCCTCGCGCTTTTGCGGTTGCGCACCAGAGAGACAAGGGCAGCTTCGTGGGTTGCTCTAGAATTGCCGACTACGAAGTCCTGGGTAAACTGGGCGAGGGTACCTTTGGGTATGTTCGCATTGTTTCCCATGCGTGAGAAGTGAACGCTGCGGTTACTGACACTCTTCTGCCCAGTGAGGTCCACCGCGCGAGGTCGAGGAAAACAGGTGCCCTGGTTGCACTCAAGAAGATCATCATGCACAACGAGAGAGATGGGGTTCGTCACCGCTATTGCCCTGCGATTCAGCCTTGTGTTCGACTGTCTCTAACGTTGACTTGTCCACCAGTTCCCCATCACCGCGCTCCGAGAAATCAAGCTGCTTAAGCTTCTCTCACATAAAAATGTCTTGCGCCTAGAAGAGATGGCAATTGAGCATCCACCCAGAAGTAGGTCAACCCAACCCTGAGTTATGTTGAGGACGCCGGTTGCTAAAAAACAACCGTCACCAGCCGACAAGCGAACGAGACCCATCGTGTACATGGTCACGCCCTACATGGACCACGATTTATCCGGCTTGCTCGATAACCCTTCGGTCCGCTTCACAGAACCACAAGTCAAATGCTATCTGTTGCAGTTGCTAGAAGGTCTGAAGTATCTGCACGCGAACCACATTCTTCACAGAGATATGAAGGCGGCCAATCTTCTCATCAACAACAAAGGTATACTACAAATTGCCGACTTTGGTCTAGCGAGGCATTACGAGGGCGACATTCCCCAACCAGGAAAGGGAAGCGGCGAGGGGAAACGTGACTATACTAGCTTGGTGGTCACCAGATGGTACCGCCCTCCCGAGCTTCTGATGCACCTCAAGAGATATACCACGGCGATAGATATGTGGGGTGTCGGGTAAGATGAGACATGTCCCTTCCATGTGCTTTCCTTCGTGCTAACAACGGTTCCAGATGCGTGTTCGCGGAGATGCTGGAAGGGAAGCCGGTATTGCAGGGTGAAAGCGATCTTCACCAGTTAGAGCTTGTTTGGGACCTTTGCGGAACACCATCCGAGGAGACTATGCCCGGATGGAGGACGTTACCCGGTAGCCAGGCATTTACATCAAAGTTTCGGCCAGGAAACTTGACGCGCAGATTCGAGAAGCATGGTCCCGTGGTTATTTCGCTGCTCAAGGAGCTGTTCAAGCTTGACTGGAGGTCACGCATCAACGCGATCGATGCTCTCAACCACCCATATTTCCGGACCGCGCCACTACCGGCTCTACCTGGCGATTTACCAACGTTCGAGGAGAGTCACGAATTTGACAGGCGCAAGTTCCAAGACAGGAAAGCGGCCTTACCGCCTGCGCCTAAGGGAGGCACTGTCGGCCGCGGAGCTGTGGTTAACGGCCAAGGAGGCCCAGCTTCCGGATTCAGCGGTAGAGATGGCTACGGCGGTGGTGGTCGGAATGGCGCAAACGGCGGCAGATACCCACCATACCACCGCGGTCCCCCACCCGGCGACGAGCGAGTTCCCTCGTGGCACAGCGCACGGGGGTTACCACCACGACCGCCACCGCCCGCAGACTACCATAACGGACCGGTCGAGCATGCCGACGGGTACCGTGACCGTCCACCGCGTAGGGGTCCCGGCGGACCGCCAGGAGTGGGGGGAGGTGGTCCAAGTAATGTAGACACCTACATCCCCAGCTATGACCGCGACGGACCCGCGCCGCCGCGCCGTGAAGACTGGCGCCGCCGTGACGACTGGGACGATAGGCGAGGAGGAGTTGATCGGGATAGGAGACGGCCACCTGTAGACTACGACGCCAGGAGCCGCGACAGCAGGACGAGGAGCCGAACACGCAGCAGATCACCGCGCGATCGAGGTCGCGACCGTGATGCATATGCGCGAAGGTAGAGTTCTTTGCCTGGCGTTGAAGGCTAGAGTCCTTCGTCTGGTGTGGAAGGCTAGAGGTCCTTGCCTTGTGCGGTGGAGGGCTCTGATACCCGCAGTCTTGATAGTAACAGGAGTAGCTTGAGGGAAGACGAGCAGAACAGTAGCTCTGAGGGCCCCGAGGAAGGCGAATCGCCTCTTTGGGTGTGATAGTCACAGGCCCAATTGGGGTTTTAGTGACAGTTATAGACCTAGTGGAAGTGATGGGGCGACCAAAGACGAGATGATCTTGATAGGTCGTAGAAGAAAGGACGCACATTTCCTTTCAAAAAAGCGTCTCTGTCAAGGAGGGACAAGGCAGGCTGTCTTCGAGGCCGCATAGGCTATGCCAGTAGACGCTCCGGGTACAGTTGCATGAGTCGAATAGTAGGAGGGCGTGAGAGTTCGGATTCAAGCAGGCCGTCTGGCAAAGTGAAACGTGGGTTGCCTGATTTGATGGGTATACATTCCGGGTGTTTAGGTGCTGAATGCGGAGTAGACGTTACGGAATATATACCTACAACACCGAACAGGCCTGAGCGGAAATGGAGCCTGAATATATAACAGACTGCATGACGATTTCATGAGTGGTATTCCTGCTTCACCAAAACTCACTTTCTTATCACATGGCCTAGCCTGATGCGGTGAAGACGATATGTATCATTTTACATGAAGAGCCCATGAAGCGATGCTGGCGATACTTCCGCACCACAATGAGTGACAGAGTCCAGGTTAGACACCGCGTTCCGTCTCGCCCCATTTGACAACCGATTGTAGGTTCAACAACGCTCAATCATCGTGAGGTCTCCCGGATTTACCCATCCTTCTACGTCAAAGTTTGAAACCAATCTCTCTCTCTTTCCATCCAGCCATCACCACCTTCTCAAAAATCAGTCGCCCTGCTCCCGTGCACAGGACTTCAGGTCCGTCCAACACGGGTTCACCCTTCGCTCCTTGCAATCACTCCCCCTCTCCCCAACCTTTTCAATGACAAGACGCCCTCCTTCTCATCCTCTTCCTCATCCTCCTCATCAAACACAAATTCCAGCACCTCTAGTCAATAGCCTCATCAACATCAACCTCAACTCTCAACTCCCCAGCAGTCCAGCATATAACCTAACCCCAAACCTCCCCCTCCCCCTCCCTCCCCACCAACGCCCCCAACCAATCCCCACACCCCACCACCCTCATGAGCACCTGCTCCCCGCCCACCTGATGGCCCGGGTACGCAGTGACCGCCGCCGCGAAACCCGCCAAGTCCTCCCTGGGCACGCGAACCCAGCACTCGCCGCCCTTGACGAGCAGGATGTCGATGGCCATGGCCATGGAGGCGCCCGTGTCTCCGAGGAATTGGCGGAGGGAGGAGGTGAGGTATTGTCGGGCGGTTAGGGCGTCGAGCGAGGGGGGCGGGGAAGGGGAGACGAGGGAGAGGTGGGCGTAGGAGAAGGGTGGGGAGCGGATGGTTGTTTGGGAGAGGGTTTGGGATTTTGAGGATTTGGTGACTGAAGTGGTGGTTGTGGTGGTGGTGGTTGTTGGAAGGTCGATGTCCATTTTTGTTGACATTTTGGTTGTCTATCTCGGTTTGTTGGTGGTTTTTGTTGGGAGGGTAGATTTTCTTTCTGGCTTGGTTGGAGGTCCTCGAGATTTCGTTGAGGGTTGTGGCTCGAATTGGGTTTCGGTGGATGAGCGCTCAGTGAATTGAATGCCGAGTTGCTCAATGCTGAGGATGTTGCTGAGGTTTGAGGAAGTTGAATATCTGGAGTGACTGTTTTTGAAGTTGGGGATGGCTTAAAGCTGTGATGAAATATCGCTGTGGGTTGTGAGTGGAAGATTTTCAGTCTCGAGCGGTTTGCGATACGAAATGAAAGATTTGAAACTTATTGCCTTTCGTCTGAACAACCATCATATCTGGTCTTCCTAAACATTACCTTTTGCTCTACCTACAAGATGAAGTTTCAATCACACTATCATAGGTCCAGAATTATTCCTTTACAAATACCAGGAACATCACAGGCAACTGCATCAAATGTAGAAGTGCGTTGCGATGATAACGAAGAAAATCCTTATGCACCAATGATGAACCCACCTCGATAGACGTATATTGTGGATAAACACACAATGCCCCACACTTACCGTCGGGTCTCAGCTACGTCACTTTCCCTGCCGCGGTTCATCCCAGCCTGAACCAACCGCCCGCCGACACTCGCTTGCGTCCAACACGACCCTGATCGCATTTTGATATTGACAGGGTGCGTGTGTGATACCCAAGAGTTCGAAAAATACTACGGCCCGAGAAGGTGATTGATTCTAGGGATGCTCTAGGAGACTGTTGTTTTTAGTCCTTTTTTTCTTACCTCAAAATACACCTTTGCGCATCATTCCTTTCCTTAGATTACCTACACCGAACGGGCAATGACCCCATCCAGATCAATACATCCCAGTTCCTCTCCATCGCTCCTTGCTTATACTTGATCTTTAACCCTATCCGGAAGTCCTTGAAAACGGCCTCACCTGACCTTTTCATACCGACGACACTTTACCATCTCCGTATCTCATCATCGGATCCCAACAACCTATTCTCATCTCGAATGGTTCCAAATAATCCCACCCACGCCTCAATCCCAAGCTCAACATCATGGATCCCACACGGAGCATGGGCTCTCTAGGAGCCATCCAAATGGACAACCTCGCAACCCTAGCCGGGCCAGCCGTCGTCCTCGCCGTGGCCTACTGGTACATCAAAGTGCACGGCTTCATCTACGCCGCCAGCCTAGCATGGACCGTGGTAGGGGTGGTCAAGACCATCTTTGCGGTGCCCTTCAGCCTGCTGTACTGGGTCGTCGCCTCGGTTCTCATGATACCATACTATCTGCTGGTGGTGATCCTGTCGCCTCTTGCGTGGTTGTGGCATGCGTTTATGGCGCCGTTTCATTGGTTTTTGAAGTTTTTGGGGGATCCTTATGTTAGTTTCCATTTCATCCTGTCTCTTCTCACTCACTCACTCACAACTAACAGACCATTTTCCTCCCAATAATAGCCAGTAATAGTCTTCTTCACCATAGCCATAGTCCTCGGTCTTTTCTCAGGAATCATCATGTCTTTGACGTCAGCCATAGCCAGCTCCTTCATCCACAGCTTCGCCTCCACCTCCATCCGTCCTAGTACTAGGAAACAACAACAAGCATCAACCGTCGTTCCCACTGATCTCAACACCACCATGGCCTCCACAACCTCCACCTCCACAACCTCCACCAACGCCACCAACGCCCGAGATGTCCGTGACAGGACGCGAACCGGCTTCCTTAACCCCCTAGCCCTGCACCCCATCTCCTCCCCCTCTCCTTCTGGTCAGTCACGCACCCGCGGTTACAACCCCTACGACGCCGACAACGAACTAGTTCACATTGAATATCCCAACCTAAGCGACACCAACACCAACTCTCCCACGTTGAAGCAACAACGCAACAGCAACAACAACATTCCCGGGGCTACTGCATATTTTGACCAGCAGCAGCGATCACCGAAGTCGATTTCTTCCCCACATGGCCCTCCGCAGTTACACGCTAGACCACGGTCGGCTGTTTCGGTAAAGAGAGGGTTGGGGTTATCTGCTATTGGGGGCATTGGAGGGGTTGGAGGGACGACGGGGTTGGGAGTGGGAGTGGGGGGTGGCGCGTCGGGCGTGACGTTGTTGAGGGAGACGATTCATGAGGAGGAGGATAGTGGGTTTAGTGATGATTCTGTTTAGACCACTGCGGCTACCTCTAGGTGAGGAGGGAGGGAGGCGGTTGCGAGTTTTGGGGTTTTGGGGTTTCGGGTTTGAGGGAGAGAAGTAACTGGAGCTGGGGGTTCAGGGAGAGTTCAAAGGAAAGAAAGGTGAGGGGGGGATGACGGAAGGTGACTGGACTAATTAGTTCAGGCTGAACGGCTGTCTGAGGAGAAAGTGATCATAAACAAGCTTCGGAGAGTCATTCGGATTGCCTGCTTCTATCCATCGTGTGAAGCACACAGTTGGGATGATCTTCGATGAGAAGAAAGACTCTAAACACTTTGAGAAGCGTGTGACAGAGTCATGAAGCAACATCGAGATTGTCTATTGGCAGACCAGAACAGAACTCCCACCCTTGTAGGAAGCCATATGATATCAGAAGGAACAAAATATCATCAAGACAAGAACCTGAACCTTAGCACCATGACCCCCCGATACCTGACTCCTGCGCGCAACGCCTAATCACATGCAATCAAAAATAGCCCAAAACAGAAACATGCTCCCTGCAAAACACAACATGCCCGATCTGCACAGCAAAGCCCGAGGTATTCACGCCGTTTTATTTTGTCTGTTGTGCTATACGAATACATCCAGCTTTTACATCAGCGACGACATGACGGAGCTTTGTGCGTATGCCTAGAAGAGAAATGGGTTAGTCTTGGCAAGTCACGATAGTCAAAAGGGGGGTCAGGAAGACTCACCATGGGCTTAATGTTGGGATGCGGTACGGCCTCGAACTGCGAGAACTTCAACTTGTAATCGGGGCCAATGTTGATGTAAGCGCCCTTGTTCTCCGTCATGTCGCAGTACTTGGGCGCCGAGAAGACGGTGATGCACTTTCCGTCGTGCTCCTCCTCGTAACCGTCCATGCGGACCTCATGACTGCGGATGATGGCCTCCAAGCCGTTCTTGTCGCAGAAACGCTTGGTAACGTCGGGACCGAACTGCATGCCGACACCGCGCTTGCTGGGACCGCGGCCGGGGAACGGCTGAGGATCGGTCCAGAGCATCTCCATCATGAGACCCAGCCTGGCCAGGCTGCTTCTGCTTGTGGCGGTCGAGCTTGCGGATGTCGTCGAGCGTGACGTTGTCGTCCGAGAATAGACCGCCGTGGAGGACGAGGTACTTGGAGCCGATCAAGGTGGCGAGCGGGAGGGCCGAGAAGCTCTCGGAGAAGAGCTTGTAGGTTCTGGACGGAAACTGTTAGTGGTTTGATCCGATATGCTAGATGTCCCATAGCGGGCGCAAAGAGTTTGGCTCGCTTACCTCTCGTTGTACTTGTGCTTGCACTCGCCCTCGAAGCCATACACCCTGTTCATGTCGTCTGTCTCGTGGTTTCCGCGGTTGATGAACAAACCGTTTGGCCTCAACCACTTGTAGGCATAAAGGAGGAGGGCAATCTCAGTCGACCACGAGCCTCTGTCGACGAAATCGCCGTTAAACAGGTAGTAGTGCTTATCGGTAGGGAAACCGTTCAACCTGAAGAGCTCCATCAGATCAAAGTATTGGCCTATTCACAACGTGTTAGTAACCATCAGATGAGGGGTGGTCCTCCTACAAGGGCAAACTAACCGTGGGTATCACCGCAGACTGTCAACTGCACGTCCTCGGGGATGTCCACCTCGACCATGGTGGGCTCGTTGTACATAATGTTCCTGACCGCAATAATGATCTGGTAGACGTATTTCTTGTGGATCAGTTTGCCGTGCTTGAAACGCTCGATCATGTCGTCGATAAACTCTTGTGTCATCTCGTTCTTTTCCAGGCGCACGCCGTCGTAGGCGGCATCGACAGCCATAGAGTCGACATCGAGACCCTCGGCGGCGGACAGCTCATCGCCGACTTCGATAGCGGCGAAGAAGGCGAGCTGGCGCACAATCTTCTCGCACTCGACAAGCTTGAGCTTGGCATCCTTGTTATCGGGGGCAATCTTGACGCAGGTCTTGAAGTCCTTGACGGCTTCCTTGGGGTTCAGGATGGCGGCGTAGGCGGTAGCGCGGCGGTAGTAGGCCTAGACATGATGGAAGGGTTCAGATTAGCTACTGCTCTGGTTTGCGACCTCTCCGAAGAGGGGAACGGTAAAGCTGCGACAGTGTCAGCCACGGTTCGGACATACCTTGACGAAGCCCGGGTTGAGCTCAATGGCTTTTGTGGCATCGCGAATGGCATATCCGTATGCTTCTGTCTTGAGATGGGCCTATGCGACGGGTGCAAGAAATCACTGTTAGTTGTCACGCGACCAATTCAAGAAGCGTGATCGTCGGGGAGACGACGTAGGCGACATAAGCGATGCGGGCAGCGGCACGAACCTGGGCTCTGTTGGACCAGAAAGTTGGCTCCTTATCGTTCAGCTCAATGGCCTTGTCGTAGAACTCGATAGCCTTGGGCCAGTCGTGGGCGGCGAAGGCCTTGTTGCCCTCGTTCTTGAAGGCGATGGCCTGTTCTTGGGGTGTCGTCATTGTCTCTGGTTCTGTGTGGACGATGTGTGGGTGTCCTGGGTGTGTATCCGGGTGATACTGTGGGTGCTACCTTGGACTCGGGCGCGCCAACATGCGGAAAAAGAATTTGGATTTCCCAAAAAAAAAGATAGAGTCCAGAGGAAACGACTGGAGCCGGACAAGGATGGCCCGTTCTTCGCCTTTTATAAGTCAGGCACGCGGGGCTAGCGAAGGCGAAAAGTATCAGAATTCGAGGTTGGATAACAAGATATGTTACAGTATAAACTATAGTATCACGCTTGAAATAAAGAATTGTAGTCTGATATGCCACAAGGTGATAGGCAGAGAGAAGAAGTTGGGAGAATAAGAAAAATGTCGAGTCCAGTTTGAGACGGAAAGTGTCTTGTCAATCTTGCGCAAATCGGAGATCGGAGACGGGACTGAATTGTGGGCTACAGAAATAATTTTGCCCCGCATGCGACTAACGGTGGGACATTAGGGTGCCTCGGCGCGGCATCCATTGGGCTTTTGTCTTGTATTCAATCTTTCATTCTGTATAAAATGATTATGAATTTGATGCCCAATACGGTCACAGATTGTTGCCCTCTCAAAGCCTACAGAAAGTTCATTGTGCCGATGGGTTCCCAAGCTCCGTCCCGGGCCGTGTTGGTCTTCGGACCCGTCAATCTTGGTTCTTATCATCGATAACGGCATTCGCGAACGGTTCATACCGGGCGGTAACTTTGGTACGGACGGGGTACATGATGGCGCTTAAATGGAGCCTCCAGGACCGTGTGGGGAACCGACCCCACGATGCCGGGCCCGCTCTTCCGGGGCACCACGTGGGTAACAAGGCGGGATCGTCATCGCGGAGCTCATACCGGAATTTGGGAGGTGAAAGTGAAGGTCGGGATTTGATATAGGCAGCTTCTTAGACTACCAAGACAATATCCGCGTGTTCTTGAGGACCGAACATTGCCGAGACAAGCGCTGCTTTTGGGCAATGGCCATGAGCTGTTTGAGGGCATTCAAAAGATAGGAGGAGAAAGTCGAAGTACGGCAGCAAAGATTGTATTCACCGGTCGCCAACTGACGCTCAATATCTTGAAGCTCACGGTAGGATTTCATAGCAGAATGTCGGTCTTTGTCCTAGTCGTACCGAAGAAAGTGTTCCCATTACTCTCAGCTGCCTTGCTCCCCCTGACATGGCATGTCCAAATAACTCCAATGTTTTGGTATTCCATAACTCCAATAATATGATGTTGTGCTTTTTTTCTTTGCCGTTCGTTCATGAAACCAGGATTGTTCCCATTGCTCTTGGTTCCCCTAGCAATGTCACCTCCTCGTGCGATCATCATCCTCTTCGTCGCTATCGTCTCGAAAGCCCTGCTCCAGACTGTCCGCATTGTTAGTTTACCTCAAGCATGTGAATGAAAAAGGGATCCAATCACTCACTCTCTACTTAGCCTCCTATTGCTATCGTCAATCGAAGGTTGTTCCCGGCGCTCCAAAGCCCTCCTGAGAGCCTCATCCACATCATTCAGCTCCTCCCCATCATCGGAATTGAAATCCGTACTTGGCCGGTGATCGGCCACATTGATGCGATCTTGCAGTCTGGCTCTCCACGCCGAAGTTATGAACCATGTCGTGATGCGATCGGTGATGCGTTGACGTAAGGACGAGGCCCCATCTGTTATTGTTTCGAGCGGCAGATACTGGCTGTAGCGGTTGCGGTATCGTTGCCAAATGGGAATGGCGGCGAATGTTAGGACGAGGTAGAGGATCAAGGCTATGATCGCGGGGACAACCAATGTCTAGATGTATTGGAAGAGGTCAGTAACGAGGGCTGATCCAATAGTGATGGGAAGACAGTGTCTTGTCTCTTTGCTCACCTTGATCGCGGAAAAGTTCGCGCCCATGATGACGATGATGACCCTGGTGCGCTGCCGACTGAGGACCACAAGATTTCAAAGTTCGAGTCCAGGTACTACTGAATGTGATGGTCTCGGCTGCGGGAGCCTCGACGTCGCGACGGTAGGTAGTCTATGAGGCTGAACAACTGAAGCCAGGTGTGGTGGCCGACGGAGTAAAGTGTTACAGAGGTTACGACAAACAGGTACGTAATCGCGTGCGGAAAGACGTACCGGCCTAACTGCGCGCAAAGGCCACCCTGATGGCCCAGGCGTCGTGGAACAGTCGTGCACTGTATCGTGCCTGGACTGGGCCTGTTGGAAAGCGGGCCTGGCAAGCTAGCCCGGCCCTTGTGTTTCTGGCTGTGGTAAGACCCGACTCCCGAGCAAAAGGCCCCAAAATAGCAACGACAGCCCTCGAACAGATAACGAACTGCCCTGATGATCCAGGGGTAACAACACCGGCCTCGATTTGGAAGTCCCGGACTGACTGCGTTCCCTAGTGGAATTGTTGGACTAGTAACCACAGCTGGTCCTTTTGTAAGGTTGGGTTTTCATGTCAGCCTCTATCTCTACTTCATACCTTGAATATTTATTTTTCTCTTCAAATCATCTTTACTTGGTTTGGTGGGGGGGAGGGGGGAAGCAGTGACCTTGAGACGCCAGGACAATGACTCTCGGAGAGAACGGTGATGATTGGGCAAGGGATCATCAGCCAATTTAACATCAGTTCGACGTGATTCCATCACCTCAATTTCCCCCACCAGGGCTCTTTGTGAAGGTAGAGGGTTAGCCAAGTCATAGCTTTTAGCACTATGCTACGTAGTAATGTGGGCATATATGATGGCGCCGCTTGAATGTGCCACAAAATGGAAGCATATGAAGATGGTGTCTTATAGTACCACTGCAAGGTCTCTTCCAACGTTATGCGTAAAATTTCAGGTTGACAGATGTCCTTCTGGAACTCGGTCAAAAATGTTTATTTCTCTGTGTATCTTTCCGGGTTTTCAATTCCATGTTACTCTGGGCCAACGCGTGTTTCCATCACCTTCTCATGGACCACCGGTTCTAATGGAGATTGTTTCGGATGGTGGAGAAGAAAGTCGCAGATATGCTCATGTTGAAGAAGGAACATGGAAGATATGGAAGTCCCTGCGTCTTGACCACTAACAAATGCCCCGCCTGTAATTCAAGACACCAGGCGTGGTGATGTGCCCAGCTAAACCGCTTTCAGTGCATCGAAACCCCCTTTGTGACTTTGAGGACTCCCATCACAGAAGGTGCAGTTGTTTAAGAGTGCACGGTGCACCCTCCCGCGCCATGGATGGACGCCCACTGCAATTGCCGAGCATTGTTCACGTTCATACGGCAACCCCAACCTCACTCTCAAGTGATCTCTCAAGTCAACCACTCACCTCAGTCTCACTGCAACTTGAATGGTCATCTGCCTCTGCCTCTCATTTTCCCGAGGCTGCCTCTATAGCTCATAATTCGCTGGGTGAGCCGGCCACTACACAGACGACGCTCCACCCGTCGTCGTCGCCATCGCTCCTTTTCTTCCCAATCATTGCTCAAAGAAGACGCCCGTTCATTTGCCGCCCGATGTTAAATCGACCTTCAATTTCGTCCGAGTGGGTAAACTTAACCCGTTCCAAGAGAGTCCCTCCAGCGCCCCACGCGCGCGCGCGCTTCCACCACAACTGAGTTCCCGCCAACACCCTAGACGAAATCCACCCAGACCCCTCGAACGGGGGAGTCCGTCCCTGACGAGCCCTGACGATTTGACGAACGAGAGACGGGACTTTGTTGTTCTCCTAGTTCAGCCTCGGCGCATCAACTTTAGCAGCACTTCAGTAACGAGCGAGCTGTGGTGTGGCATATCCAATCTTCATCACCCCTCCTTGCCGTCACCCGGTCGCCAGTTACAGTACACTAAGACCCCGAAGTCGAAGTCGAATTCAACGACCTCCTACACTATTATCTCCAGGTACTGCCGGTTACGCTACACGGGTACAAGTACACACGGGTACGGAAATTTGCGCCCACTCATACACGTCTGCGACTTGACCCCCTTTGACTTTCACTTGAGTTTGACTTTCTGTTCCCTTGGAAGATCTATTTCTCATCTGGACTATATTGGCAACATAGTGTAGTTTGGCCAGCTAGTCACGCACACATACACAGCTCGTCCTAGTGCTACCCTACCGATTAGCAGTGCTAGCCTGCTAAGCTACCTCCGAGCCCTTCGCTCCCGGCCGCCGCTCTGCGCAAAAGCTTGCCCAGGCACGGCTACCCTCCGAACCACTCGCTCGACTTGACCTCATGCTAAACACCACCGGTTCATGCAGCAGGAAGGCCATGCTCACCAACAACCGTTATTGCCCGCAAAGAACATGATGCGATCCACCCAGGGCCTCAGACACCGAGTCCATTGACGGCATTTGCTCCGTATCCATTCCAAACGAACGCACTCATTTACCCATCGACCCACCCGCGCATTGATTGCCTATACAACAACCCACCAAGACCCTCGAGACGAGACCCCTCGCGGCCCCCTCGACGCCCCTCTACGGAGTCTCAGATACCCACGATACCCGCTCGCCTATTGCGTACGAGTGAGGAACCACCCCCGAACCACACGTTGGCAGCTTGCGCTGCTGGGACTGTACTCTAGTGTACTGCCCTGCCGGTAGCGAAGCGGCTATTTCACACGTCCCGCCCCCATCATCATGTCTTCCCACGACAAGAATGGAAAGGCTACCTCGAGCGGCAAGGCCTCCTCCTTCTTCTCGAGAGCTACCGGCAAGAACAAGGCCGACAAACGAAACCCGAGTGATGAGGGCGGCCGATACCTTGCCGCCGACAACGACGCCGCCAGTACCCATACCGCGCGCAGCTCGCGCCACTACCGAGACTCGTCCGTAATATCCCTGGACCGGCCCGACACCCCCGAATCTGGCCTCAACGTGACGGCAGGGGTTGTCACGACGATCCCCTATGACGCTGTCCCCCCCGACCGTCGCTCTCCCGTTGCCCTCGACCACCTTCCCAGGCCCGACCAGATGCCCGTAAGGCGAGACCTCCTACCACACCACCTAAACAAAGGCACCGGTGACTACCACCAGTATCCCATCATCGACCAAGGCCCAAACTCCCCCTATAATGGGAATTCACCCAGCGCATCAAGTTCGCGCTCGACTCTCGCTTCCGCTAATATCACCATGGCCTCGACGGGCCGCCAGGCCCAGTACCAGCAATGGGGGCCGCCAAGAGAGAGCAGTTTGCCCGGATACAATCCCAATTCCAGAGGCCATTCGTACATGACGACCCGCAGCTCGGGCGACAATGCCAGCATCTACTCAGGTAGGGACGGTCCCTATCAAGAAGCCCCAGGAACCAGCCATCGCTCATCCAGGATAGGACTCCCTAGTACTTCGTCTCAGTCATCCTACCTTTCTCACCATTCCCATAGGGACAGAGATACCCAGCGGTTAACCAAGGTCGCTGCCGGCCATCAGGGCTCCGAAGGATTCAACTTCCCCAAGCCAGACGATGACAATGTGATCGAACAGATGTTCATAAACCTGATGCAAAAGCGAGGATGGCACAACCTCCCCGACCAGGCCAAGCGCCAGATGATCGCATACCCCGCCGCAAAGAAATGGACGTTGATTTACCAGGACCGACTCACCGAGTGGCAGGGCGAACAGAAGCGCAGACAGACGGCCAAGATTGGCCAATACAACAATGTCGATATCACCCAATCCTCCGATGACGAAGGCAGCCCCGAATGGTATGTGCGCAAGGTTATGGAAAACGCTCTGGACAGTAAAGGACTCGGAGGTCTGGAAGTCAACCTTCGAACACAACAGATCGGCTGGGTCAAGCGCTTCATCGACTGTCAGGGACAAATAGCCTTAACCAATGTCCTGCTAAAGATGAACCGAAGGACTGCCCTCGGACCTGCTCAGCCGGACAATGGGAGGCTGGATAAAAACCTGGACCGAGAATATGACATTGTCAAGTGTCTCAAGGCTCTCATGAACAACAAGTTCGGCGCAGACGATGCGCTAGCTCACCAACAGGTTATTGTGGCTCTGGCCATCTCCCTGATATCACCTCGACTCACCACCCGGAAGCTCGTCAGCGAAGTCTTGACATTCCTCTGCCACTGGGGCGAAGGCAAGGGCCATGTTAAGGTCATCGAGGCCATGGACGTCGTCAAGGCCCAGCAAGGCGAAAACGGGCGCTTCGATGCTTGGATGCGCCTTGTTGAGGTCACTGTCGACGGCCGTGGAAAGATGGGCAGTCTGGTTGGTGCCAGCGAGGAGGTACGAAGTGGTGGCATTGGCATGGAGAATCTGCTCATGGAATACGCCGTTGCTACACTCATCTTGGTCAACATGTTGGTCGATGCCCCTGAGAAGGACCTGCAGCTGCGCATCCACATTCGGGCGCAGTTCACGGCCTGTGGCATCAGGCGCATCTTGAACAAGATGGAGGCCTTTCAGTATGAGCTGATCGACAAGCAAATCGAGCGGTTCCGCTCCAACGAAGCTATCGACTATGAGGATATGCTCGAGCGTGAGAACAGCAGCATCAAAGATAGTATCGAAGGTGAGGTTAAGGATCTCAACGACCCGGTACAAATCGTAGATGCCATCCAGCAGCGGTTACATGGAACCAAGACGCAGGACTACTTTGTATCTGCTCTCCAGCATTTGCTGTTGATCAGGGACAATGATGGCGAGGAGAGACTGCGCATGTTCCAGCTGGTGGACTCCATGCTCAGCTATGTAGCGATGGACCGCCGGTTGCCGGACATGGACCTCAAGCAGAGTCTCAACTTCACTGTTCAAAGTCTGTTAGATAAGCTCCATACCGACTCTGAAGCTCGTCAGGCTCTAGATGAGGCCCTCGAAGCGCGGCAGATAGCGGATGCCGCTATGGCGGAGAGGGATGAGATGAAGGAGAGACTAGCATTGGGAGCGGACGGTCTTGTGGCTAAGCTACAAAAGCAGATCGATGAGCAGGCCATGTTCATTGAGGCCCAGAAAAGACGTGCCGAGGGCCTCAAGTCGGAGCTTGCCAGCTTGCAGACCCTCCGGGCAAAGGAGGCGCAACGCTACGAGCTAGAGACCCGCGAACTATACCTCATGCTTCGCGATGCTCAAGATGTAGCTGCCTCTAACGCCACCAAGGGCAATACTAAGCTTGGTGAGGAAGACGTGGCCCGCATGCAAGGCATCCTCGATCGTGAGAGGCTTCTTGAACGCCTCCAAATGCAGATTGAGCGCCAAAAGACGCAGTTTAAGCTTGAAGGGAGAGTATGGGGCGAGATGATTGGCCCTTCGGATAGGCTCCGAGCTCTACGGGAGGAGATGGATGGCTTTGGGGAGGAGACACCGGAGGGTGCGCCACCCAACGACTTCACCAATTCCATGCTTGGCAGCGTCAAGAGGTCGACCAAGATACCCAGAAAGCCTGTTGGTACCCGGGCAGAACATGTCGAGAACCTTCTCGAGGAAAGCGATGTCGAGGTCGGCGACGACGGCGAGATTGTGTACGAGAAGCCTCGCGTGGTCAAGATCAGGAGGCCCGTCGTGGATCCCAAGCAGGCCAATGGTATGGTGTTCAACGAACTCACTGGAAAGGTCAAGAGGTACGATGCCAGCGACTCCGAGGAAGGATATGGTATCACCACCGGTCCCTCGCATCCCAGCATGGAGTCTCAGACACCTATCACCCCCAGCGATACTGAGACTCCCAAGATCCAAGTCACCGATGCTACTGCGCCAGCTGCGGCTCCGGGTCCTCCTCCTCCACCACCTCCGCCGCCTCCGCCTCCGCCGCCTCTGGCCACCTGCCTGGTGCCCGGCTCCGATTCCCGGTGCGGGTGGGCCCCCT